TGTTAGGGGAAACACTGACTTGAACCAGCCACCCTGGCCGGGCGCCATGTAATAGTAACCATCTACATGAGTTATGTTACGACAGGAGGTCCTGGTAAGGAACACGGAACTAACAGGCCATCACCAACCGGAAGAGTTCAGGAAAGGTTAAGAGGAGACACCATGTGTCCGACCACCTCTCAGAATCCTCCTCACTGGCACCCTTCTTGGCTGAGCAATGCATGTGCTACCGGGAAGGACTCTGAATCAGAGTGATTGGCCAAGACAACCCAGAAACTAATCCCATCATCATAAAAACTGGAGACTGTGAGCCCCATGGCAGAGCAGTTCTCCTGGGTTTCCTTACTCTACTGCTCTCCACCCGGGTGCCCCTTCCCAATAAAGTCTCTTGCTTTGTCAGCTTGTGTGTCTCCTAGACAATTCATTTCCAAGTGTTAGGCAAGAGCCCGCTCTCGATCCCTTGAAGGGGTCTCCCTTCCTGCAACAGCTCTAGCCCAGATCTCTGACATTGTCCTAATGGTCATTCCGCATCACAAAGAGCACAGGCCCCAAGGCTCTGGCCTCTGCTGCTCTTGAATGAGCCACCCTGGCTTCCACCCCTGATGCCAATCAGGGCCCTGTGCGGCTCCTAGGCCTTTCTGTCCCCCATTTCTTGTAGGCAAGACTCCAGCCTACATGACCTTCCCTGACTTCCAAAGGGCAGATTCAAACTGCTGCTAATCAATGGAGGAGCAGCAGCTAGGAAACCACCTGAGGCAAGATAAAAGGGACCAGAGGAGCTCATCAAGATTAGGAGACTCTCAGTTCAGTTCTGACTCTGTGACTCCCTGGACTATACCGTCCGTGGAATTCTCTAGGCCAGGATACTGGAGTGGGTAGCCTTTCCCTTCTCCAGGAGATATTTCCAACCCAGGGATTGAACCCAGGTCTCCTGCACTGCAGTTGGATTCTTTTCCAGCTGAGCCCCAGTTCAGTTCATTTCAGTCGCTCAGTTGTGTTGCACTCTTTTCCACCTCATGAACTGCAGCACGCCAGGCTTCCCTGTCCATCAACACCTCCTGGAGCTTACTCAAACTCATGTCCATCAAGTCAGTGATGCCATCCAACTATTTCATCCTCTGTCATCCCCTTCTCCTCCTGACTTCAATCTTTTCCAGCATCAGGGTCTTTTCCAATGAGTCAGTTCTTTGCATCAGGTGGCCAAATTATCGGGAGTTTCAGCTTCAGCAACAGTCCTTCCAATGAATATTCAGGACTGATTTCCTTTAGGATTGGCTGGTTTGATCTCCTTGCAGTCCAAGGGACTCTCACAACACCACAGTTCAAAACAAAGTGCTAAACCTTCTTTATAGTCCAACTCTCACATCCATACATGACTACTGGAAAAACCATCGCTTTGACTAGACAGACCTTTGTCAGCAAAGTAAGGTCTCTGCTTTTTAATATGCTGTGTAGATTTGTCATAGCTTTTCTTCCAAGGACCAAGCATCTTTTAATTTTATGGCTACAGTCACCATCTGCAGTGATTTTGGAGCCCAATAAAATAAAGTCTGTCACAGTTTCCATCATTTCCCCATCTATGTGCCATGAAGTGATGGACTGGATGTCATGATCTTAGTTTTTTGAATGCTGAGTTTTAAGCCAATTTTTTCAGTCTCTTCTTTCACTTTCATCAAGAGGCTCCTTAGTTCCTCTTCGTTTTCTGCCATAAGGGTGGTGTCATCTGCATTTCTGAGGTTATTGATATTTCTCCCAGCAATCTTGATTCCAGCTTGTGCTTCATTCAGTCTGGCATTTCGCATGATGTACTCTTCTTATAAGTTAAATAAGCAGGGTGACAAGATATAGCCTTGACGTACTCCTTTCCAGATTTGGGACCAGTCTGTTCCACATCCAGTGGTACCTGTTGCTTCTTGATCTGCATACAGATTTCTCAGGAGGCAGGTCAGGTGGTCTAGTAGTCCCATCTCTTGAAGAATTTTCCAGTTTGCTGTAATCCACATTGTCAAAGGCTTTGGTGTAGTCAATAACGCAGAAGTAGATGTTTTTCTGGAACTCTCTTGCTAACCATAGTCTATTTATGAGAGATACACTTTAAATATAAGACACAAATAGATTGAAAATGAATGGATGGGGGGAAATAGAAGCATAAGAAGTTAAGACTGACTATCAGATATCAGATAAAACAGACTTTAAGGCCAAAAAGATAAAAGAAAGAGGTTTTTGATTAAGATAAATAATTGACTCATGATAAAGAGATGACCATCTTAAATGCATATGTGTCCAGCAATAGATCTCCTAAACACATAAAGCAAAATTTACAGAACTGAAGGGGGAAATAGTTCTGCACTACAGTTGGAAGATTTTGATAACTCTTTCTCTGCAGATGATAGGGGTAAAAATCACCAAGCCAAAGAGGATCTGAGGCACTCCTTGGTGTTAGGACTCAGCACTTTCACGGTTGTAGCCCACATTCAGTCCATGGTTAGGGAAATAAGATCTCACAAGCTGCACAGTGCAGCCAAAGAGAGAGAGAGAGAGAGAGAGAGAGATGATCTGAATAAGACCATGGGTTCTCTTTACCAAATTGCTCTATGTAAAACACTACACCCAACAGCAACAAATGAAGCAGGATGGAATTGGAGGCTGCCCCTACCCCAGGGCTGAACCACTCAACAGACAGACTTAAGACTCTAGTACCAGAGAGATACCAAAACAGAAGAAGAAGAAATTAGAAAAGAACTTAATAGATCCCAAAGGAAGCATTGGCTCAGTGGGTAAAGAATCTGCCTGCACTGCTACCAAAAAGTCTAGAAACAATAAATGCTGGAGAGCGTTTGGAGAAAAGGGAACCCTCTTACACTGTTGGTAGAAATGCAAACTAGTACAGCCACTGTGAAGAACAGTGTGGAGAGTCCTTAAAAAACTGGAAATAGAACTTCTATACAACCCAGCAATCCCACTGCTGGGCATACACACAAAGGAAACCAGAATTGAAAAAGACACGTGTACCCCAATGTTCATCACAGCATTGTTTACAATAGCTAGTTCATGGAAGCAACCTATATGTCCATCGGCAAACGAATGGATTAGAAAGTTGTGGTACATATACATGATGGAATATTACTCAGCTATTAAAAAGAATGCATTTGAATCAGTTCTAATGAGGTGGATGAAACTGGAGCCTATTAAACAGAGTGAAGTAAGTCAGAAAGAAAAACATCAATACAGTATATTAACACATATATTTGAAATTTAGAAAGACGGTATCAATGGCCCTATACGTGAGACAGAACAGAGACACAGATATAAAGAACAGACTTTTGCACTCTGTGGGAGAAGGCGAGGGTGGGATGATTTGACAATAGCATTGAAACATGTATATTACCATGTGTATAATAGATGACCAGTCCAAGTTCAATGCATGAAACAGGGCACTCAAAGCCAGTTCACTGGGACAACCCAGAGGGATGGGATGGGAAGGGAGGTGGGAGGGGGATTTGGGATGGGGTCACATGTACACCCGTGGCTGATTCATGTCAATGTATGGCAAAAATCACTGCAATATTTTAAAATAATTGACCTCCAATTAAAATAAATTAATTTTTAAAAAAGGATAAAGAGAGGTAAAAAATCTGGCAAAAACAAATTAAGTCTGGATTTTAGTTAAAAAAAAAAAAGAATCTTCTTGCAATGCAAGAGACACAGGAGACCCAGGTTCAATCCCTGAGTCAGGAAGATCTCCTGGAGAAAGAAATAGCAACCCACTCCAGTATTCTTGAGAAAATCCCATGGACAGAGGAGCCTGGCGGGCTACAGTCCATGGGGTCACAAAGGGTCAGGCAGGACTGAGCACACACACACACATAAAAAAAGCATTAACATAACCATCTGGGAATGACCGATATATTTGATTTTCTTACATTTGTTTCATGATTCAGGATTACCCTTGTACTGTCTATCTCTAGTGACATGAGACAGGCACAAAAGCCTTTGCAGTGTTGCTCCTCATGCTCTCATTGACACATTTGTTCCTACAGGTCCCTCCAGGATGGCACACAGGTCCCAGCTGGCTCTCAGAGCCTCTGATTCCAAGAGGGACCCTCTCCTTTTAGACTCAAGATAACAGTCAGGAGTGGGAACCAAGATGGCAGATTCCACCTTCTGTGAAATGCAGAACCCAGAGCTTCATGTCTAGACATGTCCTTCGAGTGGACCGGAGAAAAAGCAGCAACATATGACCCTGAAGCAGGCGGGAGACCGCAACTCAAAACAGTGTTCCAGTTTCCTTTGAAACTCTGAGCTGGGCCAGACCAGCAGATGGTGTGGGAGTGAAGACCATGCTGAGCTGTAGGACACATGGGGTGACCCAGAGTGGACTGGACTCTGGGAAGACACCTTGGTTCCCTTGAAAGAGAGTGAGACTGATTAAAAACAGTTCTGCCTGCTGCTGGCAGGGGCTGGCATCTTCCAGCTCCCTGAAGGATGGACTGAAAAAAATGTAGCCTCAAACTATTGGCGATTTTTAACTTAATTTTTAAAAAAAACTGTAGTTTGAACCTACATTCTTTCAACCCATCCTTCAGGGGGTTGGAATATGCCAGTCCCTGCTGGCAGCAGGAAGAGATGTGGGTTCGATCCCAGGTCTGGGAACTAAGGTCCCACATGCCAAGCAGTGTGGCAAAACAAACAAACAAACAAACTAAAAAATAATATGTCTAAAGTGTGGATTTTAACCAAAAAAGTTAAATTTTCACATCAGAGCCATTGATGCATTGTTAGATTTTTAAACAAGGGGAAATGCTAAAGATGGTGTGAAAAAGGAAACAGGAGAAGGGTGGCTAGTGAGTCAGGGCACTTTCCTGTGCTTGTAACTTCCTGATATTGTAGTGGAAGCAGCTTCTTCTTCCCCTTCCCAGCAGAAAATTAAGACAGATGACAGGCCCTGTCTCTATGGAGACATCTGTGATGCCATACACTGCTCCCAGGACCCCTTAGGACGTGAAGCTTGGGAAGCTGGTCTTCTGCCCACCTGTGTTTGGACTTGCATGTCCACGCTTGGGGTTGCGACTCCCTCAGCACCCAGCTCCAGACTCGAATCCCACAGGATTGATCCGAGTCATCCTGCAGGTGACCAACCTCGGTCCTCACTCCACACTCCTGATGTTACCCATCAGAGCCAGCGGGCCCAAGAAGAAAAGTCTGGTGCCCAACTTGATAGAAAAGGGCCTGATTGTCCTCCGGAAGGTGGCCAGCCGGGACGAACAGGCCCCAGAATGGAAACTCCGCCAACAGCAGCGCTCCCTCAGCAAGTCGGCTCAGGCCATCTGCCGCTACTACAAGAAGCTGGTACGGGGTCTTGGGAGCAGGGACGGCCCTGCCACACACAGTCATCTGAAGATGACATGCTTCTCCGCTGGATCAAAGGCCTCGAGGGTGGAGGGCCGGTGGGGCATCCTGAATCAGTTCGGGCAGTGGGTTGTGATGGAGAGATTCTGGGGGTGGATGGGGCCTGGGAGAGAAGATGCTGTGTCTGCCTTGAGCCTTCTTTAGGGGCATTTTTGAAAAGGAGGGAAAGGGGGAAGAGAAAATAAGGAAGAGAAAGTGCAGGCAGCAAGTTTCATGTGGGTACTTTGTGTGGTGGGGGGCAGGGGGAGCCTGGGGAGCCAGCCCCACTCCCCAGGGGCCCTCTAAGTGGACAGCAGCTCTAGGCTCAGCTGACTGCAACTTCCAAAGCAGGGCTCCCACGACCCTCATCGAGTGGCCAGCTTTCGGGGAGGAGACAGCCTGCGTGGTTGGCACACAGCGCCAGGCCCTGGAGCTCCACTGGTGGATGGGGTGGAGGGCTTCCTGGGCCCCTCCTTTACTGCTGGTCTCATTCTCCCCGCTCCCCAGAGAGACTTCAACCAGGATGCCAGCCCCCAGGACAGCGGCTTCATGTCCGAAATGGAGGAGCTTCGGCGCAAGTTCCTCAAGCGTCCCGGCTGCCCGCAGTTCAGCACCAGGTCTACATCCATGAGCCACTACAGTGAGTGTGTCTGACGGGGCCCTGTGTGCACACCCACCCCCACTCCATCTAACCCACCTGCTGGAGTCCAGGACAGCCTGCGGGTGTGGCCAGAGGAGGGGGCTTGTGTGGTGGCCACAGCTGCTGCTTCTGAAATTGGCTCTCAGCTAAGGCTGGGGTTGGGCCTCGGGGAAGGGAAGGAGGGAAGGTCCTTCTTCCTTCCAGTGGGCACATTTGTATCATTGGTCTCACAGCCCACTTGCTCTCTCTGGCTGTCAGTCACCAAGATTCAGTAGGGTTGGGACACGGGAGGAGGAGGTAAAGACTCTGGAAGCTTCAGTGACGAGGTCCATAGGTCCAAAGGTGGGTCATTAGGGACCGAGCCCTGTAAGGAGCCTCAGGAGCCTCTTGTCTAACCCCACGGTGCTCTGATTCAGCCAAGAGGCTCTGAGAGGGCAGCTAAGGTACTCAGCCATCACCCGCTGGCAATGATCAGGCCAGGTGCCATCCCAGGCTCCCGCTCCAGGTCCTGGGCTGCTTTTGTTCCTTGACACACGACATTATCCTCACGATGGTGACAACAAGGCTGAGTGCTGGGGTCCTTTCTGTGGATCTCAGGTGGCAGTCAGGCAAAAGTGGGGCTCACCCTACTCTGCAGGCTCTAAGCCTTCCGTTCTTAGTGCCGGGGCCTCAGAGAGTAGCCAGCACTCCAAGACCAGGAGGGTGGGGGTGTCTGGGGAGGGTGGGGGGACCACAGAACATTCTGGGTGCAGGGCTGAGCCCACATACGGCTCCTAGGGCACTCGCCACCATCTGATTTTTGCCAGCTTAGAGGACGCGGGTCTGACTCTTGGGGTGAAGGGCATTCTGCAAGATTTTGAGGAGGAGACAGTTTTACAGGAGGAACGGGGGCCATCCTCTGGGGAAGGGGCACAATGATTTGCAGTGACTAAGTTGCACCTGGTCTGTTTTGGGGGGGACATGCCAGGCTGGCAGGGACACAGAACCATGTTTCCATTCAGTCCTCTAGTCCAGTCCCATGCATCCACTGAGCAAAGGCACCTTGAACCCCGCCCAGTGTTTCGAAGGAAACAAGTCCCTGCCCAGAGGTCTTGGGGAGACTTGGCCTCAGCTGTCCTCCACTTGCCATCCTGCAGGTTCAGCCATGACCCTCTCTCTGCCTGAGGACACAGGCGTCAGCCCTGAGACCTGGAAGGGGGCCGAGAACCTGCTCTCCAGCCAGCAAGGCTTGGACGTGAAGGTGGACGGTGAGGGCGGGCCGTGTGGGACACTGGGGTGTGCATGGCCCGTGGGGTTCTTTCCTTGGCACCCCAGCTCTGAGGGCCCCTGTTCCCTCCATTCCTATGGTGCCCCATGGAATTGCCTTCCCAGGACCAGCTGCCTGGCCCCGTGTTCCTCACATGGGCCCTGGGACGCATCTGTCCTTGAGTAGAGGGACACCCATGCACCGTTCCTACAGACACACACTTTTGTTTACCCAGAGATGAAATCCACGCCCAGAAGTCTGCTTCACTTCAGAAGTGCCCCCTGTGCGCCCGCAGCATCTTGTCCTGACTCCAGCTCTGGGACCCTGAAGGGGGCTCGGATGCCGCTTATGCACACTGGGCTGGGGGTGGTGGGGATGAGTGCGGGAGAACTGGGAGCTGGAGAGGAGCTCAGCCAGGCAGGGAAGGGCTTCTGGCGGAGTCTTAAAAGAGGGACTTTACAGAAGATCCAGGGTCGCTCAGCACAGGAAGAGTCTGACCGCCGTCCCCCGCCCACCACCTCCCCTGTTGACAGGCCGCCTCCTTCCCCTTAGCAAGAGTGCCTGTGAATTCAACTACCTGCGGAAGAAGAGCGAGTCCCAGGTGCTGAGCCCGACTCCCAGCAGCCCCGACCTGGGGCAGAGCTACCCGAGGAAGCGGGTACCCTGGTACATCTCCATCATCCATGAGAAGGTATGGCTGGGCACGGAGCCTGGGCACAGATCCTGGTCCTCTTGTCCCAGCTCTACGTCCTGCCAGAGGGGATGCCTGGTTCTCGGGGCTCTTGTTCTAGTCTCTGGTCCCAGACTCAGTCTGAACTGACCTTCAGACCCTCTCTCGTGGCTTCTACAGGCCAGGTTCCTATCTGTCTTCTTCCTCATGGGGAGCAGTTTAGGCTGGCCTGAATGTTGTCCTCTCTTACACAGCTTTGCCCCATGTGTCAAGACCTTCGGCATCCATAGGCTTTCAACCCAGTCATTCCACTTGGGAGACTGTATTCCTTAACACAGTAATAACAATCAGCTTGATGGGCAAAGATCTGCCTATGGGTTCATTCATCATGATATCATCTTTTTCATCCTCGTTTGTGAGAGAGGCTGGCCCATAATTTACCAGGCTTGTCATCCCATTGTTTGCTTTTGAGGTCAGAGTCTTCTGGCCGAGCAACAAGAGCAAAAGTTGAGAAGCGTTCCTTCTTTGTGGATTCTCTGGAAGAGTTCACCTAAGGTGGTTGTTGTTTCTTTATTAAATTCTAAAGATTTCATTATTGAAGTCATTTGTGCCTGGTGATTTCTTACAGGTTTTTAAAAAAAATTAATTCCTTTTAAAAATATTCAGATTTCCTTCTCCTGCTTGTTCCAGGTTTGGAAAGCTATGTTTTTCTAAGAAGGTGTCCAATTCATGTCAGTTTTCAAATCTAGGAGCCTCATTCTGTGCACAAGACTCTCTTAGTATCCTTCCAGTGTCTGGAGAAGATTCTGAAGAAGACTGATTTTTTTGTTTCTGACATTGCTAATCTGTGTCTTCTCTCTTTTTCCCTCCACCGGTCTTATCAATGTAAAAAGTCTCTTAGAGTCAGTTTCAGGTTTTTTCAAAAAAATTTTTTTAAGCTCATGAAGCACTAACAACTGTGGAAGTAAGTCACACAAGATGCTGGGTGGTTCGTCATGAGCACACAGTGGGGACTGGTGAGCCCTGATAATATGGGTCCATGAGCATTCATTTTATCTTTATTCCCAAAACTGTACCTTTAATTTTATCATAGATTTCACAGTTTGGTTTTTAAATTTTTTTAATTTTTTAGATTTCACAATTTAAAGAGCATTGATACCATTTGACCAATAATTCCACCTTTGGAAAATAACCTGAGAATATAATTAGATAGAGTTACACAGACATACTGTTCATGGGGTTCTCAAGGCAAGAATACTGAAGTGGTTTGCCATTCCTTTCTCCAACAAACTGTGGAAAATTCTTCAAGAGATGAGAATACCAGATGACCTCACCTGCCTCTTGAGAAATCTGTATGCAGGTCAGGAAGCAACAGTTAGAACTGGACATGGAACAACAGACTGGTTCCAAATAGGGAAAGGAGTACATCAAGGCTGTATATTGTCACCCTGCTTATTTAACGTATATGCAGATTACGTCATGGGAAATGCCAGGCTGGATGAAGCACAAGTTGGAATCAAGATTGCCAGGAAAAATGTCAATAACCTCAGATATGCAAATGACATCACCCTTATGGCAGAAAGCGAAGAACTAAAGAGCCTCTTGATGAAAGTGAAAGAGGAGAGTGAAAAAGTTGGCTTAAAGCTCAACATTCAGAAAACTAAGATCATGGCATCTGGTCCCATCACTTCATGGCAAATAGATGGGGAAACAATGAAAACAGTGAGAGACTTTATTTTGGGGGGCTCCAAAATCACTGCAGGTGGTGACTAAAACCATGAAATTAAAAGACACTTGCTCCTTGGAAGAAAAGCTATGACCAACCTAGACAGCTTATTAAAAAGCAGAGACATTACTTTGCCAACAAATGTCCATCTAGTCAAAGTGATGGTTTTTCCAGTAGTCATGTATGGATGTGAGAGCTGGACTATAAAGAAAGCTGAGTGCTGACAAATTGATGCTTTTGAAGTGTGGTGTTGGAGAAGACTCTTGAGAGCCCCTTGGACTGCAAGGAGATTCAACCAGTCCATCCTAAAAGAAATCAGTCCTGAATATTCATTGGAAAGACTGATGCTGAAGCTGCAATACTTTGGCCACCTGATGCGAAGAACTGACTCATTTGAAAAGACCCTAATGCTGGAATAGATTGAAGGCAGGAGGAGAAGGGGATGACAGAGGATGAGTTGGTTGGATGGCACCAACGACTCAATGGATATGAGTTTCAGTAAACTCTGGGAGTTGGTGATGGATAGGGAGGCCTGGCATGCTGTAGTCCATGGGATCGGGAAGAGTCAGGCACAACTGAGGAACTGAACTGAACTGAACTGAACATAGACATATGTAAAAGGATGCTCTCTGCAGTTTTGTCAAGAAAGGGAATTCCCAGGGAAGGACTGCAGACTGGGCTGTCTCCAGGGGCTCACACCGTGTCTTCAGGGTCTTCTTTCTTTCATCTCTCTCTTCGTTGGCCCTGTTGTAGGCAGCATCACTTGCAGCAGCAAGTATGTGCTGTTGCAAAGTTAGCATCCCCACTGGAAACCAGCATCGCCTTCCAGGACTTGCGTCTGCTCTGGACACATCTGTTGTTATTGTTCAGTCACTCAATCGTGTCTGACTCTTCATGATCCTGTGGACTGCAGCACACGAGTCTCCTCTGTTCTTCACTATTTCCCAGAGTTTGCTCAAGTTCATGTCCATTGAGTTCGTGATGCTATCTAACCATCTCATTCTCTGTCACCTCCTTCTCCTCCTGCCCTCAATCTTTCCCAGCATCAGGGTCTTTTCTAATGAGTTTATACTTTACATCAGGTGGCCAAAGTATTGGGGTTTCAGCATCAGTCCTTTCAATGAATATTCAGGGTCAATTTCCTTTAGGATTGACTGGTTTGACCTCCATGCTGTCCAAGAGAAGACTCTCAAGAGTCTTCTCTAGCACCACATTTCGAAAATATCAGTTTTTTGGTGCTCAGCCTTCTTTATGGTCTTACATCCATACACAACTACTGGAAAAATCATAGCTTTGACTATACAGACCTTTGTTGGCAAAGTGATGTCTTTGCTTTTTAATACACTGTCTAGGTTTGTCACAGCTTTGCTTCTAAGGACCAAGTGTCTTTAAATTTCTTGGCTGCAGTCACAGTCCGCAGTGATTTGGGAGCCTAAGAAAATAAAATCGGTCACTGATCCCACTTTTTCCCCTTCTATTTGCTGTAAAGTGATGGGACAATATGCTGTGATCTTAACTTTTTGAATGTTAAGTTTTAAACCAGCTTGGTTCCCCAACCAGGGATTGAACCAATCTCCTCTTCATTGCAAGGCAGATTCTTAACCACTGGACCACTGGGGCAGTCCCTCTATGACTATTTTAACTTAATAGTGTAAGCAATTCCCATATACCCTCCAGATTCTCCAAATGTTAAAATGTTGCCAATTTGCTCCATCCTCCTCTCCTCCCCTCCTTTCTCTGTTTCCCTATGTCATTCATTCATTAAAAAAAAAAAAAATTTTTTTTAAATTTATTTTTCTGCACCTGGTCTTAGTTGTGGCACAGGGGATCTAGCTCCCTAATGAGGGATGGAACCTGGGCCCCCTGTATTGGGAGCACGGAGTCTCAGCTATTGGACCACCAGGGAAGTCCCTATGTCACACATTCTTGCCCTGATTTTTAAAAATTCCCTTTTTGCTATGTTCTTTAAGTGAAGTTTCCAGTTCTTTTTTCTGAATGCTTGAGATGGACACTTAGATCATTGATATTCCATTGCTTCCCCTAATTATTACATTCGAAGCCTATAAATTTGCCCCTAATCACAGTTTTTGCTACACCCCATGTCATGCCATGTCCAAGTATTTTATTATTCTGTCTAAAATACCTCATAATTACTTGTGTGGCTTCTTCTTTGACTCGTGGGCTCCATGAAAGCCTATCATTTAATTCTTAGATATCTGGACAACCTCCTAGTTATCTTTTCCTCAGACTCTATCTGGGACCATCTCCCTCTTGCCTGAAGAATCCCCTTTGCATTTCTGTCAGTCGTTCAGCCCTGATGATGACAAATTCTCTCAGTGACTGTCCAAAATCACCTTTATTTGGTCTTCAATTTGGAATGATTGAGGGCTTTGAGGCTCTGAGGGGCAGTAGACCCAGCCCAGACAAGACCCTTGGAAGTGGTCTTTGGAGGGTGGTGCTGTTTACGTGTCCTCGATAACACCTGGGGGCTGACTGGGCCCAGGGCCTGGAGGGGAGGCTGCCAGGAGATCTCAGGCAAGGATGGCCCTTAAGCAGGAGGGGGCTGCAGGTGAGAAGCCCCTCACCTTGGGCTGGGGTCACAGGGTCCTCCTGGGCCCAGAGCTGCTGCTCTAGGGGCCCAGGGAAGGGTGTGGCAGGGGCGTCTGAGTGGCTAAGTGGCCCCCCCGGGCTGCCCCGTTTCTCCTCAGAACCAGAGCCTGTTGGCATTGGGGGAGGAAGTCCAACGCCTCTCGGAGATGGAAGCGCAGGTTCAGAAGAGACAGGAAGAGATCCTGGCTCTCCAGGAGGAGAGGGAGGCCCTGAGGAAGCAGCTGAAATGCCTCCTGAAGAGTAAGAGCCTGGAGGCTATGCCCAGACATGTCTTGCGGGTGAGCAGCGGCAGGCGCTCTGTGGACTATCCTGGCCTGCTCTGGCTCTGGGAAGGGGCTTTGCCTGTAACGTGGGCATGGCATGCTGACCCCCTCCACCCCAGGTGTAGGGTGGGCACTGGAGGAGGCAGGGTAGGGTGGGGACCTGGGGGCCGTCACCTGGTCTGAGACCTGGTTTCTTTCGCATCTGAGGATACAGCCTGCATTTATGCTGGGTCCACACTTGAAGTGGGGGTAGGGGATTCAGACCCCTGCTGGATCCTCTGGATGCCTCCAGAAAAAGCTACCCAGACACCGATGGTGGGGGACTGGTGGGCAGGGAGGCAGCAGGAGTCTGGAAAGCCTGGAAGCATGGTCCTGTGTCCCCCCGTTCCCCAGCCTTCCAGGGGCTGTCAGCGAGCAGGCAGTGGGGGGCAGTGACCTGTGGGCATGTTTGAGGTTGGCCCCCCCGGACTCTTCCAAAATAGCATGCTTGTTACTGCTGGGTCGCTCACCAGGGCTACCCCCAGAGCTGTCAGCTACATGGCATGGCCCCCTGCCCACAGACAGAGCAACCCCGCTGGGGGAATGGTGGGCCCCCTTCAGGGAGGACAGGTCTCAGCGACATGGACCCTGGGGGAGCCGAAAGCCCAGGTTGAAACCCTGAGGCTGCAGGATTTCAGAGGGCATCTCTCAGGAGTGGCCGTTGGAGTTTGTGCCAAAGCTGCAGGGAAGACAGAGCACCCTCAGAACCTTCCGAGATGAGGAGGACGCAGAGCACTGGCGGCAGGTGTGGGCTGGCCGGGGCCTGGTCCCCCAGGCTGCCCGGGAGATGCCCAGGCTGCAGCGTCCCACCCGCTGTCCTAACCTGTTGGCCCTCACCCAGACTGAGCCCTCAGCCACATCAGGGCAGGGGTGGTGGGGCGGTTCCTGGAGATGTAACCCGAAAGGAGCTGGCCGATGGCCCTGCAGCACCATCCTCCCAATGCCCCCATGAAGGTTCAAGCCTCCCTCCGGGGGCTGTCCGAAGCCTTGTCCAGCATCCCCTCCCCTCCCTTCCCCAGCAGCAGGAAGAGTGCGACAGAGGCAAGGAGCTGGAAGGTGGCGACTATGAGGAGGAAGAGTATCTGGAAGGGCAGGCCAAGAGGGCAGCGGACAAAGGGGCGAGGGCTAGAGCCAGCAGGAGGGAAGGTCTGCAGGAGAGCAGAAGCGAGGAGGAGGCGGTGGCCGTGGTAACTGCGCAGGAGGATGAGGACGAGGACAGGGATGGGTATGGGGCCGGGGAGGTGGAGGAAGAGGACCAGGAGGAGGTGATGGAGCTGGATGAGGAGAAGGAGCTGCAGGAGGAGGAGGCCATGGCCAGGAGGTGGGGCGGCTTCGTGGATGACACTTTTGAGGAGGAGCTGATGGCCCAGCTGGAGGAGTACGAGCAGCTGATCCAGGAGTTCCAGTTTCAGCTTGAGATCACCAGGACCAGATACTCCCTGGCAACAGGTGGGGTGCCAGAGGAGGCCAAGGTGGGACCCGCAGTGAAGATGCCCAGGACCACCCACTTTGCCCTGGGTCCCTCTTGGCCGGGACCATGCGGGGGCAGCACTGGACCCCTGGGATGGGAGCAGGCAGCCACTCCTCAGCTTGGAGCTCTGCGGAGCCCGAGGGATGGTACAGTGACTGGCCCCCTCCTCCCTTCTTGCTCTCGCCTCATGCAGGAGCCATCAAGTCTTTACAGCGACAGGTGGAATTCCAAGAGTCGCAATTGCTGAAAATCAACACGGAGAATGAGATGCTGCAGAAGGAGCTGCGAGAGAGGAAGAAACAGCTGCAGGCCATGTCTGACAAGGTGACGGCGTCCTCTGTCGTGCTGGGACACATGCCATCCATCCCCGCCCCCCCCCCCCCCCCCCCCCCCCCCCCCCCCCCCAGAGACAGAGACGCTGGACTCAGGAGCTGAGAGTGGTGGGCCTGGGGTTCACAGCACATCACGCTCTATGCTGGGCTGCCCTCTGGCCCCAGTGGTCATCTCTGTCTCCTGGACCACTAGGCTTCTGGCCATTTCTCAAGCATCTCCCAGTCCATGGTCCCAGGACTGAGAACACCACGACCTTTAGTCCTTGTAAAGTACTTTTACTAGTTTGTTTTTGGTCATGCTGAGTGTCCTGTGAGTTCTTAGGTTTCCCAATCAGAGATTGAACTGGCATCCTGGGCAGTGAGTCCTAACTACTGGTTGGCCAGGGAATTCCCTGAAGCACTTTTAGTTTTCATTTTTATCCATGTTTTCCATGCACAAAGCTACATAGTTTAAGGAACCAAGCAATTCCACAAGCTTATTATATAAGACAGGAGTCCAACCCTTTTCTTTCTCATTTGTCCATTCCCCAAGACAAATGCTTTCAACTATTCTAGCTAATTCTTGATGACTGGCTTTCCACGTTTCTAGACAGCATGCTTATAAGGCATTTTAGATATTTCTCCATCTTGGCATTATCTAATGCTTCCCTCTTTCCTCCCCTGCCTCCCCACCCCCAGGAACTCATCTCTCAATACTATTTCCTCACAGCATTAGTTAGTGGACACAGCATTTATATCACTGAGACAGTTATTGGGCCTGTGATATATGACAGAAACACAAATCTTGTGAAACAGTATTGAGATCCATAAACCACTTTTTAAAGCTGCTGCCATCAACATCTTTGTTTCTTGGTCTACCCTCACATTTTCACTGGAGCACATCCTTCAGTAGTTTTTTGAGAAAGAGGAGTAGAGGTAAAATTTGGGAGATATCATATTCTGCAAATGTCCTTACACGTTAACAGAAGTTGGTTGGAACAGAATTCCAGTTTGGCAACTGCTTTTCCTTGGCAGTGTGAAGGCACCACTTCATGTCTCTGAGCTTCCAGGGTTCCTAGAGGGAAGCACAAACTCAACCTGATTCTTGAGCTTTCTTATGACATAGTTCTTGGTGGTGGTTGGTTCCTCTCTGTGAAGTTACAAGATCCCATGTTTATCCCTCATGTTCAGAAGCTTCCATGAAAGTATTAGTTGCTCAGTTGTGCCCAACTCTTTGCGATCCCATGAACTGTAGCCCGCCAGCCTCCTCTGTCCATAGAATTCTTCTCCAGGCAAAAGTACTGGAGTGTGTTGCCATTCCCTTCATCCATGGAATCTTCCTGACCCAGGGATGAAATTCGGGTCTCCTGCATTGCAGGCAGATTCTTTACCATCTGAACCATCAGGGAAGCTGCCATAGGTGGACCTTATTAAGGTCTGTTCTCATTTGTCCTGGGCACTCAGTAGCCAGCTAGAAACTTGTATCCTTCTGTTCTGAAAACGTTCTCTGTTTACATAGTTTTTAGTCCCTGTCTTTGTTTTCTCTGAACTCTCCTTCTGGCAACCCCATCAATCAGCCAGCAGACCTCCTCTTTGGGGCTCTTTCTCCTTCCTGTCTGTTCCTTTCACTGTCTTGTCTTTTTGTTCTACTTTTAGATTTCCTTACCTTTATCAGCAGTCCTCTTCCTGAGTTTTTTTAAAAAAATAATTTTATTTTATTTGTTTGTTTAATTTTTGGCTGCACTGAGTCTTCATTGCTATGAAGGCTTTCTCTAGTTGCAGCGAGTAGGGGCTACTCGCTAATTGCAGTGAGCAGGTTTCTCATTGTGGTTGTGGAGCACAGGCTCTAGGGCCCATGAGTTTCATAAACATGTTTACTGAAACATGAGTTTCAGTAGTTGCAGCTCCCAAGCTCCAGAGCACAGGCTCAATAGTTGTGGTGTGCAGGCTTGATTATTCCCCAGCATGTGGGATCTTCCTAGAGCAGGGATCGAACCCACATCTTCTGCATATGGGCAGATTCTTTGCCACTGAGCCAGCAGGTAAGCCCTCCTCTTGAGTTTTAACTTTGTTTCATTTAGTTTCTAAGATGTTGCTTTTGTTCTCTGAATGTTCCTTCCCCACTCCCTTTTATTTAGAAGCACACTCATGTTTTATTTCTTAATGGCCATATGTCTCTGACCTCCTTAACAACTTAAGTGATAGTTATGGGAGATGTCAAAGGGATTTGACTTCTTGTGCTGTTTCTATTTCCTATAAGCTCCTTTTGTAAGTCTGTTTTCAGTTTCTGTTACTCCTTCAAGAATTTTGCTCCAAGGTCAGAGCTGCCTGGAGTCTCTCAAACTGTGGGTGACCATTTTGGGTTTCACGGCAGAGAACTGTGCTTGGGTACATCAATGGAGAATTAGTTCAATGGTCCTGCCGTTGGCGCCTTCCCCTTGGCTTGCTCAGATTCTCCTGGAATCTGGGAAACTGGAAGAATTCCTTGCCCAAGTGTAATGGACCAGCTTCTGGTGTTTCAGGACAAAGTGGGGCAGAGGCTGTAGTCTCCACGTTCAGCCCCACATCCTGCATCTGTCGCCAGGGGTCTCCATCGCATGGCCTGGCATCTCCCAGGCCAGAGATCCTCTCCCCACCTCCCCCAACCCCGCCTCCAGTCTCCTGACAGATGGAAAAGGGGGCAGGTGCCCGGCAGCTCCTGGTCAGGGCTGAGCCTGCGGCTCCTGATTTCTGATATGATGTTCCTCCTCGTGTCGGCCTCCACGTCCAGAAGAGCCCGGCACCATCCCCCACTTCTGAGATTTCCAGGGACTCTGAGCTGTGAACTGGGCTTGTTTGCAGCTCTCCCCGCTGCTGGCTTGGAAGTCTGCTTCCTTGGGTCTGCCTCCCAGCTTCCGAAGTGTGTTTGATACCTTCCCCTCCTCCCTTCCCCCTTCATCAGAAATTCTGATACTTCCCTTCATCTTACTGAGGTTCAGGGAGGAACGTTCAAGGAAGCAGTCATCTATCTCCCCCCACCAGCCCCTGAGCTAACCCCTGTTGCCTTGCAGTTCTCCAACCTCCGGGAAGACAAGAAGTACCAGGAAACAATGGGCCTCATCGAGAACAACAACCTCCTCCTCAGACAGGTGCCCTTGGGGTGGCTGGGGGGGGGGGGGCAGCCACAGGTCCTGATGGTGGCAGGGAGAGAGGCAGCTGGGTGGGAGCCCCTCATTTCAGATGGTACCCTGTTCAGTAAATCCGGAGCCCCGGACACCCACTGGGAAGCTGGCCACAGCCAGAGCCAGGCTGGCTGGAGGAACTCAGGGAAAGGTGGCTGCCTCTGGGAGAAGGAGGGGTGGGCAAGTGGACCTACTGCTCCCCACCACCCAGCAAGTGTCAGAGCTGGAGAGTGAACTGGCCAAGAGGGAAAAGACCATCTCGGAGCTGGAGGCCAAGGTCAACCAGCTGCAGAACCAGGTGAATCAGAGCCAGAACCACCTGCAGAGGCGGAAGCAGCTCCAGGAGGAGATGCAGAACAAGAACGAGATGATCCAGCACGCAGAGCAGCAGGCCCGTGAGGCCCTGGAATATGCCCAGGCCAGGGTACGCCCGACTCCTGCCTCCTAAGGGCCTGCACTGGGGCCCTTGCCCACCACTGCCATCCCTGGGAAGCGCCACCCTGGGGACTGTGCACCAAGTGCTCTGGGCTTCCCTCTCTCTGTGTCCAGAAATGCTGGTGGAGGAGGGGGCGAGGGTGTGATGTGGCCATCTTGGTCAGCTGTAGTGGCCGGAAAGAGCTGAGTGCAGGGGCTTCATTTATGGAGAAGCCCCTTGAGTTGTGCTGTGAAAGAGACTCAGGGATGTGGTGGCCAGCCAGGGAGAGTCTGAGGTGGGAGGGATGTAGTAGTAATAATGCCGTCTATTTATAACTTAGAGAACATTTGCTGTGGGTCAGGTGCTGTTCTGAGCATTTATTAAAGTCATTCAACCCTGTTAACAAAGCCATGACATGGGTACTGCTGGTGTCCTGGCACCTGCAGCACAGAGAACGAACAGCCCATCTGAGGTTCCAGAGCTGCGTGGAGGCGGTGCTGGGGCGTGAGGTCTCGGGTCCTCACTCTGAGCCCCTGATAGATGTGAGCAAAGGTACAGCAGGAAATCATCAGTCAAGAGCTGACTTGCTTTAGAATCTAAAACCAGCAAAGGTAGAGGTCCTGAACGCGTAGGCTTTTGAAATGACATTTTCCCCACTGGCCAACCAAGAGTGCTGGCTCTAACCATCTGTGTTCTCCCTCCTGCTGGGGCCGGCCTCCTGCTATGCACAAGGCTGCCGATGGCTGCCAAAGACTAGACAGGCTCAGTAGCTCAAGCTGCTTAACTCCTGGCTAATGCCTGGTTAGTGCGGATGTCCACAGCATGGAGTGCTTCTAGGTCACTTGGAGAAGGAGGATGGGCCGGGAGTATAATGCCCATCACAGGGTTGGCCAAGTCTGCAGGTTGTCTGCTGTGGGTCATTGGGAGACTGTGGCTAAAGCTCCTCTGGGGGACGGAGGATGGCCTGGGGGGTCATTCAGAGTTTTGTTTTGACCATGTGCAGGTTTTGCTTTTTCAATTAAGAAACAAGCAAACAAACGGGGTGTAGTAGAGAGTCTTTGAGTTTTGGTGTTAGGCCTCCTGGGTCTGGGTTTTGATCAGGTCCCTTCCAGCTCGCAGGAGACCATGCTGACCACTCGCATGCTGTTTCCAGCTCCTGAAGCAGGAGAATTGAAGCCAGGTCCACCTCTCCTGGAACCTCAGAGAGGCGGCAGGTGTGGAGAATACTGTCTCCCTGCTCAAGGCGAGCTTGGCTGTTTCTCCTCTATGCTCACAGCTTGAAAGACTGAGGAACAAGATCATCCAGGCCACCTTCAACACCATAGGGATCAAGAACTTGGCCACTGAGATATCTGACAATGACATCCTGGAAGGCTTGCAGGTATAAACGGTGCTCAGAGGCCTCCTTGTGCCTGGGGACCCATCTCTAGGCCAGAGCTCCTGGATCTTCAGCCGGGAGCAGAGGGGAGAAGACTGGATGGGAGGTTAGGAGCCCCCATTCTTGTCCTGGTGGTATCTTGCTTTCACCGTGACCCCAGCATGGCCCTTTCTCTCAGCTCAGGCAGAGGGGACTAGATTTCCCTAAGGGGTTAGGGAACAACATCCTGGAGCTGCTGTCAGTGTTCAGCAACCATCAGCAGCCGAAACCCACCTGGTGTGGTAGGGAGGGAGCCAAACAGCTGGGTCCTGGGTTTTCCTGCAGTGGGAGCCCAGCCCTAGGTTCTGCCCAGCCCAGCTCCCCCAAGGATGCTTCTTTGCATCTCAGCAAGGCCTCAGCTGGAATCGATGCTGAGCTGGGAGCCTGGTATGGACCCCCTCCCCGGCCTCAGCCCACACCAGCTCCTCACCAACAAGCCAGAGTTTCAGAGGGGCAGGGAGGTTTAGGAGAAATAATATGGCTTTGGGGCTGGCAGGAGTGTCACCACCCTGGGACCTTGGCTTCACAGCTGTGGGCTGGTCACTTGACTTGCTGAGCCCTAGAGCAATCCCTCTGTACCAGGGAGAGGGCGCCTGCCTTCCAAGCCTCCTCCAACAGCATGACCCTTGACCCCAGCAGCTACCTGTGACCTGCCACTGGCCCATTTGTCCCTGGGGCCTGGTTCCTTTCTTCTGTGAGGCTGGGTGGGCCCCTGGTTACTAGCACTCTTGTAGGGTGGCCAGTCCTCAGGGCAGAGGGGCACCCCTGCATGGAGACCTGGGGAGAGGTCTCTGTGACTACTACTGCTTGGGGCAAGGGAAGGAGGTGGGGGGTGGGAAGGAGAAAGAGGAAGGGGAGGAATGGGAGTAGGAAGGAGGAGAGAGGTTATGAGAGGGAGGGAGGGACAGGGGATGATGGGGGTGGCAGGAAGACAGTGAGGGAGAGGATTACGAGGAAGGGAGGGACAGAGGGGGATAGGAGAAGTCATCACCACCCACCAGTAGCCAGGGAAGAACTCCTTCCCTTGCCAACACCTGCCCCTCTCCCACCCCCCCACCCCCTCACCCCCCAGCACAAACCAGCAAAAGGCCAGAGAGAAAGAAGGAGGCTAAGGAGGGTGCAGGGCAGCTTTCCTGCACAGAGGGTAGAAGAGACTTTGCCCTGAGGGTCAGACTTGACAGCCTCTGTTGTCTCTGGGAGTGTAGGCTCCTGGCAATTCCCAGAGGACGAAGAAGTGGATCTGGCCCAGGCTCTAGGAGTGAGCTGGCCTGGATGGTGGGCATCTCTACCCAGCTCTGAGTCCTCTGGCTTCACCCTGTAGCTGGATCAGCCTTGGTGGGAGTAGTTTCAGCACAGAAATTGGCAAATGCTACAAACCAGAGCTTTTTTTTCCCCCTCCTGGAAAGGTTGTAAATATTCACCAGCACAGCACTGTGGCAGCAGGCCCTTCTCGGGGAGAACAGGGCAGTGTCCCAGGAACCGGCAAGGCCTGTGTGGACACTGCTGGGTGTTTTTTCTAGAGGATCATCTCAGACCGAATAGACTACTACAACCAGCTGAAACAGAAGGGGGTCAAGGTGCCCCCCCTGCAGCAGATGGAGATCTTATCCTCACCCAGCAAGTCCAAGAAGATAAGCTCCAAGGAGGCCCAGCTCAGACCCTAGGTGCAGCCAGTACAGCAGAGGCCAGGGCCCAGCCTGGGTGCACCCTGGGTGCCCCCTTTCCCTCCATCACCCCCTCCCCCACCTGTGGCCCCACCCTGGCCCTCTGATTCAGAATTACACTTGCTGCTGGCTGTGGTCTCACCTTCTCCTTCACTAGGACACAGAGGGGAGCTTGGGTTACATGAACACCCCTTCCCACTCCACAGCTCACTGGGGGTCAGCACAGCAGCTTGCACCCATGGCTCCTCCCTGGGGACACCCCACACTGAACACGGTGCCCTCTGGTGGTCCCAGGTGTAGGAGGCCTGAACTGGGCTCCTGTCCACCGCATTTGGTTCACACCCCCACAGGGGTCCTTTTCTGACGCCAGCTGCACACACCTGCGGGGCTCTCCCGCTGGGGTGCCCTGCCGGGGCACTGCTCTGCTGTTGCGACCCTGCGGAAGGAGGAGGGTCGGCCTGCGCACGTCTCTGATCGTCCATCGCTCTGGTGATGACAGCTCTGCAGAGCACCGGCTCGCCTGTCTGTGCTGTACAGAGGTCTGTGCCCCGCACACAAACGCGTGCTGAGCGGACTGGGTCCTCTGCCTCTTCTCTTTGCTCTCCACCCCAACCTGTCCACGCATCCTTTCGTTCCTGCAGCGTCCGCCCGCTGAGGGCGTCAGGTGCATGGCCGTCGGGCCCAGGCCTCTAGCCTCTCCGAGACAGCAGAAGGCCCCCGAAGACCGGCGCCTAACTGCACACGCCCCGGGAGCCTCCTCGAACCGCCTAGTGCCTCGGTTCTAGCCCGGCAGGTGCGCCCGGGACCCGCTCTTGCGCTCGAGCCCGGCTCCCGGCACGGAAACTGCGACAGTGGGGAGACGGTCCGGAAATCCCAGCCGCGTCTAGGCACCGCCATGGGGCGCTCTCAGGCCCCTGCAGCCCGAGGAACGCGACTCCTGGAAGGCCTGGGGCTCTGGCTTGCTCCGCCCCCGCCACGCCCCCGGGAAGCGCCCCGTTCCTCCTCCAGGCCCACCCCTGGTTTAGGAGTCCTGCGGCCACACCCACCCACCCACGGCCCCAGGTACTTCCCCGTTTAGGCCCCGCCCATCGAGCCTACGCCCCGCCCCCTGTCCAGATCCCACCACCCACCGCCTCCCCAAGGCCCCGCCCCCGCTCAGGCCCCGCCGCCCACCCGACCACGCCCCCTCTAAGCCCCGCCCGACTCCGGCCCGGGACACGTCTGCGGCGCGGAGCGGCTGGGGGCTGTCGAGCCAGGTGAGACGCGGGGTCGGAGTGCAGCTTCCTCGAGTAGCCAGTGGGAGGAGGTGGTGGGCTTGGTTTCTGCAGCCCCCAGCCCTCGGGGCCGCGGTCTCCCTGGCCTGCGAGCGGCCGGCCCGGAAAAGTGGAGTTGCTGGGGTGGGGGCGGGGTTGAATGGTCCCCCGGCCCCCAGACCCCCGAGGCCAACTGCCGGGCGAGCTCCTGCTTGCCACTTGGGACACCCCAGAGCCCCTTTCCCTTGCTTACTCTTGCTCCTCTTCACTTTTTCTTTATTTTCTCTTTCTTTAAGGTTGGAGAATTCTCAGACTCCCCAGACCCAGAACTGCGAGCTGGGAGGTGAGATTCACTGACCCGAGCTCTGACCATCTTCCTGGATCGCAGAGGCCTCAATCCCCGACGTCAGGACTCTCCCCTTGTAAGTCGTGGCTCCTTGGAGGTGCATTGGGGTGAGGGGGTCTTAATGTATGTACAGTCCCTGTGTGCCCAGAATTCTGTCCCCACATACTCCCAAGAGGCAGTGGTACCCCTGGGAGTGAGGCTTCCAGGATTCAGCAGGTGTCCCTGCCAGGCAGCACAGCCCCAGGATCCTGTGACACTGTGGCCATCAGGTGTGGGTTGGTCAGCTTGCTACAGATGAGTGAGCAAAGCCTTCAGACCTTGGCTCCAGCACATCAGCAACTTCTGGTGTCTTTGTCCAGCCAGGTTGACTTGAGGGCCACAGTCCACATGAGTCAGGAACCCGTTCTATCACAAACACCAGGACCCCACTATCCCAGGCTGGAGCAGATTGGGCTGGCCATCCTCACACCAAGAAACCCACAGGTGGGCAGTGGGTGTGCATTTGAAGACTCAGCACCACCAGGTAGTGTTGCAGGATATCCAGACTGCAAAGTGGCTGCTCAGTTCCAGCCATCACATCAAGGAAGAGAGAAGGAGGTGGCTATTCTCTTTCACAAAAGCAAAAGCCTCATGCTCCTGCTGCTCTCCAGCACCTTGCTCATATCTAGGTGTCATGGGAAGTTCAGTTAAGTTCAGTCACTCAGTCATATCCAACTCTTTGCAACCCCATGGACTGCAGCACGCCAGGCTTCCCTGTTCATCACCAACTTCCAGAGCCTGCTCAAACTGATGTCGGTGATGCCATCCAAAGCAGCAATCAAAGCTTGTCTTAGCCCATGAGCATTACTTGGGGCTGGGACACTGCAGCCTGGAACAAGACAGGGGTTCTGGTCACAGGAGGGAGGGGTGGACATTAGGTAGCTCACAGAGCCGGCTCAAAGCCCCTTTGCTGGACACACTGTGGGAAAGCAGAATCCACAGTCAACAAATGTTTGGCCTCCCTGGGGCCTGAGACCTGGCCTGCATGGCTGCCCCCAGAGCACAGGCTCCCACGGGAAGGACAGGCTTTGTGGCTTTGAGACAAGCTCCCTTCCTTCATCCTCTGAGTCTGAGATTTGGGAAAGGGCAACTTGGAGGGGGTTGAAGGGGGTTCAGAACTGCCTGGTTTCGTGAATTTCTGGGTTGGCTTCTTGCTAAGTGACTCACTGTGCCTTTAAGCCTCTGTGCCAGATTACCTGGAAGACAGTTCAGGTTTTCGCACCAAAGTCTCAGGCCTCTAAAAGTGAGGGGCCTCTCAAGACCCTTGACCACCAGCAGGGCATAGCAGTAGGTGAAGGAGGGGTTGCAACTGTGACAGGCCAGAATTCATAGCTACTGCCGCTGCTGCCAAGCCCTATCAGCTGCCTGCAGACCTGCCACTCTGCAGGCCCCAGCCCTTTGCCTCCCAGCCTCCAGGGAAGGCCCTGGGGTCTTATCTGGCAGGAATGGGAGGAGGTCAGGCTGTTATCAGGCTTGGTGACCTGACCCCAGCCAAGGGCCCTGCAGGGTTGCAGCAGCTGTGTCTGCCTGACCCCCAGGGGGGAGCAGCCTGGTGGAAACACAGCCTCTCACATTCCTGAGGGCAGGGTTTGGCAGACTTTCAGACTCTATTGGAATTCCCTCCTTGCCTCCTCCCACGTGACCCTGGGCAAGTGGCCTAACCACTCTGCACCCCTAAAGCCAGATGAAAGGATGTGGGAAGAAATTCTCAGATGGCACAGTGGTAAAGAATCCACCTGCCAATGCAGGAGATGCAGGAGATGTGTGTTTGATCCCTGGGTTGGAAAGATCCCCTGGAGGAGGAAATGGCAGCCCACTCCAGTATTTTTGCCTGGAAAGTCCCATGGACAGAGGAGCCTGTTCATGGGGTTGCCAAGAATTGGACATGACTGAGTGAGCACACAAAGGAGCCAACCCACCTCAGTGCCTCTCTGCCCTGGCCCCACCCCCAGACAGACCCTCACCCTAAAAGCAATGGCACATGGAACCGGACCACTGGCCCCCTGGGGGTAGAACAGGCCTCAGGAGGCCTCAGCCCCCCCTCTGTCTCTCCTACCAGAACCCTGTGCCCCCATGATGGAGCCCCAGGAGAGTAGCATCAGGTACAGCAGGTGGGAGAACAGCCACCCGGATGAAGTCCATGTGGCCAGCGGGCCCAGCACAGAGGAGGCCTCAGGCTGGCAGAGGTGAGGGGCCAGGAAGGAAGGGCCCCGCCTCTCCCTATGCAGACCCCTCCTGTCCTTCCTGGTAGCCACCACATCCGCAGACCCGGGCCCCACACTTTCTCTGACTTGTTCCTTCACTTGCTCCCTCTTGTCTTGCGAGTTCAGAGTGCCCAGGCTGCCCTGCTGCCCAGGGCCTGCTCCTCCTCCTCCCCCAGCTCCCATCCCCACTCCAGTCAGGGCTGCTCGGGGGTCACGTGCCTGCGGTTCTCACCCTAGGGTCTCCCAGAAGCTGTGCTCGGGCAAGCTGGGCATCGCCATGAAGGTGCTGGGGGGCGTGGCCCTCTTCTGGGTCGTGTTCATCCTGGGCTACATCACCGGCTACTACGTGCACAAGTGCAAGTAAACGCTGCCCAGACACGCCCCCAGGAGCAGGGCTGGAGGGACACCCTGTGTGCGAGAACCCCTCCATGTGCATGGACCCACCCTGTCTACACATACCACAGTGTACTCCGAGTCCTGTATAACAGCCCTGCTGTTTATACACAGCCGCCGTGTTTATGCACAGCCCCCCTGTTTTATACCCAGCCCCCCATGTAAACACAGCCCCTCCATGTATACACAGCGCCCCCATGTATACCCAGCCCCTCACCATGTATACAGGTATTCCTTGCACCAATGCACAGATTCCAGGGACTTGCATGGACACCAGTGTGCACAGCTGTCACAGGCACCCACAGACATACAGCCAAACAGGGACACAGGTACATGGGGGCACACACATGCATGCTTGGCACATACCCACCCAGGGGCCCACGTGACTGGGAGACCAGTCCCGACCTGACTGCAGGACACGCCCAGGCTAGGCCTGCAGCCCAGGGCCCCCAAACCTCCCTTCTCTCCCTACTGGGGTGCTCCCTGGGTGGGCTCTGTCCCACCTGGCAGGCTCCTCCCCTCTCTAGCCCTTCTGACTCCCACTGTGGAAGGATGCCTATAAGGGCAGGGGTATGTATGCCTCTCTGTCCATCCACCCTCCCCAGGGGCTGAGTCTTTTCCTGCGAAGAGGGGGAAGAGGGGCCTCAGCCCTTGTCCAAGACCCACTGCTGTGTCTTCCCTCCAGGAACGTGGGCATGTTCCCCAGGGCTGTCCACCCCGCCCGGGGGTGGGGGGGGGCTCTGCAGGAGGCTGGCCCTTCCGCCTGCACCCTGTGGGAGGCCTGAGACCCTGCACTCGGAGGTGGTCATTAAATGTCTGTTGAACAAAAGCATGGATGATGGTGTCTCCTGTGGGCCTCCCCAGTGAGGCATGACTGATGTGAAACTGGCTGGAGGGCATCTGGACAGAGGCTGGGAGGCCTCTCGCTGAGCTCTGGCCTTGGGATGCACCCAGTCCTGGCCAGGCCCTCTGGCGGGAGGTGAGAACACAGGGCAGGGTGAGTTTCCATATGTGGCCAGGCCTACTCCTGTGTCTCCTGACCATGGATAGCGTCTCCCTGCCTTCAGGCCCTCCTGTTCCGGGCACCCTTGTGAGAAACACCGTCTTAGGACAAAGTCCTCACTCTGGAGTTGAGGGCAGGAGATGAAGGACAGTCAGGACCCTCATGGGCTCCGCAGACCTGGGTACCAGAGACTGAGCAGCCAGGGAGGGCTGAGACCCCATGGGACTGGCTGCAGGCCTGGGTCAGGTGAGCATGAGGTGGGGCTGCACCACCCAGGTGACCCCTCGGCTTTGAGTTCCCCGCTGGGCTGGGGTTCCCCCAGCAGTGATGCTTCAGCAGGGCCTGCTGCTGGGGGGGGGGGGGGGTAGGAAGGCAGAGTAAGGGGCCATGGTGGAGGGCCTGTCCAGCACCCTGGCCTCTGGGGCCTCAGCATCCACCTCCAGAGAGACCCCCCCACCCCCCCACTCGGGGAGGGGGCACCAGCTGACCCACACCTGTCTGGCCTCTTTCTGATGCCCCCTCTGGGAGTCCCCTCTGGCCATCTTAGGGCTAGCACTGGGGTGGGGACTGTGGGGAGGTGGTCAGGGGCCACCAGCCTGGCAGGTTTAGGCTGGGTGGCCTCCCTGGGCTCTAAGTGGTCAGCAGTCCAGGCCAGTGGTGCAGGGGCTGGAGCTCCCCAAGGCCTGCTGTAGCCTTGGCCAGGAGCAGGGCAACGGTGCAGGACCGAAGGGAGTGACCCTGGCTGTCCCCTGCCCCCCCCCCCCCCCCTTAGGCCGACTTGGCCTCCCTGGCTTCTGAGATGGCCTGCAGCCTCCAGGGCCACATTCCTCTGGTAGCCCCCTCCCTCCACCACAGAAGCAGGTCTGCCGATGCACAGGTCAGGAGTGTCTTGCCTGGGGCAAGGCAGGGAGGTGGGCAGGGGCTGCCAGCAGGCAGCTGTACACAGTGCTGGGGTCTGGCCAGCCCTACCCCATGTGCCACCATGACCCAACGGGTCCCGGAATGGAGAGCTGGGGGCACCAGCTCACACCCTGGAGGATGCTCTGTGCCCTCGGCCCCTGGGCTCTGCGGGCACTGTGTGCCTGGCCCATGGTGGGGGCACACGGGGTACCCTCCCACACACACAGGAGCCACCTGAGACCTCTCCCGCTAACCCCACCCCTCCGCGCAGGGCCCCAGCTGGACCCCATAGCCAGGGTGGAGGCCATGTCCCAGCAGCCCTGGGGGAGTAGGGAGAAGAGGGGAAGGGCTTGGCCCCTCCCTCAGCAGGTCAGGATTGGGGTGGTCTGCTGGGGTCCCAGCAACTTGACTCCTTCGTGTTTGCCCCTGGGTGGAGGTCCTCTGGGCACTGCCACAGGAGCTGGTTCCCAGGACCAGGATGGGGTTGAGGGCAGCAGCCTCTCTGGGCCAGGCCCCTGTGACAGGAGGTAACTGCGTCTTGTTTTTTGTGGCCAGGGGGCCCCTTGTCCTCAGTTCTCCCACCGACACTCCCCACACCCTCCTCCAGAAACCCTGGGAAGGATTCACCGGGAAGGAGCCCTGATGTTCTTATTGAACATTTTTTATTAGAGGACTGGACTGACAAAAACATCAGAGAGTTTTCCTGCTGTACATTAAATATGTTTCCAAGCCTCACACGCAATCAAGCTGCCCCAGAAAAAAGTGGCGGGCTGGCAGCCTCCCCACCATCAGGGGAGATCTGATGACATGTGGCTGCTGAAGCCAGCTGGGAGCCAAGGGAGCAGCTTGGCTGTTGCCCCAGCCTAGAGCTCCCTGCAGGGCTTTGCTGTGATGTCCGCGCCCATCCCAGCCACGGCATCAGCGGCCTTGACAGCCAGAGGGTCACAGAGTGACAACGTGGAGGCACGATGCAGATGTCCGGTAGGTCTGGGGAACACTGTCACGGGCGCCCTCTTCTGCCTGGCCAAGTGTGGCCACTCCAGGGCTGATGACCGGCAGTCATGCTGGTGACTGCAGAGCTGGGTCGGGTGTCAGGGCAGCCCTGCCACATCCTTCCAGGTGGGCTGGCGGGCCCTGGGAAACCCACGTGGCTGTGCAGCAGGCCATGTGCGTGGGGTGTGGGCCTCTGCTGCTGACAGCTGCACACTGGGGTCTGGTGGGGCTCTCGCTAATGCCTCCCCCAAACTGTCATTCTGATAGAACACACTAACTGTCCTTCACAGGTCAAACAGCAGAGAAGCCACAGTGTCACTTCACAATGGGGAAGCTGGCGGGTCCCACTGTGCCGTCCTGGCTGCTCTTGGAGCAGTGAAGCCTGGGAACTGCCGGCCTGGAGCTGAAATCACCTAGAAGGCTGGATGCTGCTGAGCCTCTCAGGGCACATGTCCTGTGGTGCCAGCTGTCAGACTCCTCACGTCTCCTCCAGGTACCATCAGCTCGTCCTGGTTTGAGCTGACCACGGCTGACCATCCTGTCCACGCCGGAAGCCTGTTTTGTGGTGGGAAACCTGCATACTGTCCTCCAGACTCAGGCATGACCCCTGGTGGTGCTGGTTTACAAAAGAGTGAGTGCCCCCTGTTCCCGGGTCTGGCCAGTGCAGTGGGTGGGGTGGGCTGTCACCCCCCGCAGGCTCTGCAGCCCACCCCGAAACCATTCAGCAGCACTAGTAAGAAAAATGATTTGACCAATTCTAAGGTCACATTAAAAAAATGTTCTTATAAAAAGATGATGGTTTATGGCACCTGGAGACCCTGACGTCGTTCCTTGTCTCTAAGCTGCAGTGCTGGCACCAGAGGACTTTAAAAGACCCCAATTGTAGAAAAATAACTGTGCAGTTCAGTAAAACACACATGGTTCAGCTTCTCAACCTAGAGCTGAACATTCACACCAATTATGGTGTCTTTTTCCCCCTGAATACAGTGATTTGCTGTGTGTCTACATGACTGCAGAACCCTGTGAGCAGTTAATTCCAACATTTGAGTGACTTCATAAAGACCACTGGCACACTCTGGCTGTGAAGGTGGAGTGACTTGAGCACACAACACAGTGGCCTCCCCCCACGGCAGGCGGATGGAGAACTGAACAGAGGGTGCATATATCCTAAAAACACTGAGGTGAAGAACTGTTTAATCACCCCACGGAAGCCCTGAGGAGTGGCGTGGCGGATGGCGCAACCCGGGAGCCTCGGGTGGCAGCCTGGCTGTCAGCGCAGCACGGTCACGTGGGCAGCGGCGAAGTCCAAGTCTGTCTTGGACGGGTACACCACCTTCAGGTGCCCCTCCTCGTCCACTACCCGGACCTGCTCCACCACCAGCGGGGTGCCCCCTGCCACTTCAGCACCAGGAGTCGCCTTGGGATCCAAGCCGTGTCCAGAGACGGCGTCAGACTCGGGGTCCGAGAGGGAGCCTTCCTCTCTGTTTTCCAGAATGTACTTGTTGATTTCTGCCATTTTCTGCAAATGAAAAAGATCTTCTTAATCAAGACAAGAGCCAACCCAGGGAAGTCATGGTAAAGGGCCATGGATGGGCCATCAGTCCTGCAGGGCCAGCACCTTGGTGGGCAGCGTGTGCAGGGTGGGGTGGGGCTGGCTCACCAGGATGAGTGCGTCCATGATATCCTTGCAAATCTGCAGGCTGGAGGCGCTCGTCACTTCCAGGAACAGATCACTTGTGGTTTTCTTAATCTTAAAAAGAAATTGGGAAGATTTCAGGAAAGAACCAAGTTATCACAAGCAGACACCATCAACACTGATGTTCCTTCTGCAGAAAACCCCATGGTGGCACACGGACCCAGACGTGGCCTCCCCGAGGGGTGCAGTGCACACAGTGGGTTGTGGGTGGCCACGAAAGCCAGCAGCGACGTAGGTGAACAAGACCCATGACACGGCCTCACACACACTCCAATGCTGGCAGCAGCCCCACCTTGGTCTTCTCGCTGTTCGTGACCGGGGGGAAGGAGATCACGTCGCCATCTGCATCCACGAGGCAGGGGTAGTGCTCCTTCCCGTCCAGCAAGTGCAGGTACCTGGTGGAAGCACACAGTCTCAGGCTCGGCAGTAAACACAGGCTGGGGTGCCTCTCTGTCAGGGCAAGGACACGTTCCCTGGGCCTCCAGGGGCCCGATCCCAGCTGTGGGCCCGGCTACCCCTGCCTCGGCCTCTGTCCCCAGGCACTGAGTGGATGTGCCAATGGCCACCCTTCCCCAGACGCGCCTGCCAGGCACTGACTCTCTGAAGCCAGGAGGTGCAGTGCTGACAGTGTGAGCGCCCCGAGCAGAGTGAATCCCCAGAGAAGTGAGTCCCCCACCGACCTGTGCAGGCCCGACACGTTCTGCCGCTTTTTCTGCTTCCTGTGCTCCTCGGCCTCCAGCTGCAGCTGTCGCACCAGGTCCTTGGCCTTGACCTCCCGGCGCCCCAGGGGGATGATCTACACGGGGGAGAACTTCACATTGGCCTGGTGCTGTGGGTCCTAGCGAGAGGGCCAGCTGGCTGAGGAGAGTCCACCCCCCACGTCACGTGCAAACATGTGCCTTTTGAGGTGACCCAGGGGCTGAACCTGAAACCCCTTAAAGCACAGCTGCATCCCCATGCTTGTGGCTCTGAGGCGGCCATGGGAGGAGACAGGGCCAGTACCCATCCCTCCTCTGCCAGGGCTGGCAGTGCCTCATGTAGGAACTGATACTAGGAGCAGGACCTTGACAGGACAACGCACACTGCAGCCAGCCCCAGATCAGGGGGTTTGCAACTGGGATGTAAATGGCAGTTTTCGGTTAAGTTAATGGGCAGGTGAAGGAGTCACTTTCAAATCACACCTCCTTTGATGAATTTGCTTTTGAAAGTAACTGTGGACACAGCCTGCCTTATCCTCTTGCAGCAGAGCAGGGTCACATTCTAACCAGGGTGTTCTGACAATCGCCCACATGTATACTTCTCTAAAAGCACAGACTGAACACTGAGGCTGCAGACACGGCTGTGAGCCTCACCTTGAAGTCCTGTGGCGGGCGGGCAGTATAGAGCAGGGGCCCCCGGACAGCTCCGAGGTCGTGGGTTGCGATGGTGGCCACCGTCCTCTTCTCACAGAGGTCCTCGTGCAGCTTTGTCTGCAGCAGGGAATCCAGGGCGGGAGCTCAGCGTGAGGCCCCGCCATCACCCTGGCCTCCAGAGCGGCCCTGCCCGCTGCCTCCTTTCTCTGCCTCCCCAGCCACCTGTTTCTCTTGTGGAGCCTTCCTCAGAGAACTGTTATCTGCTTATTAGCAGGATTTCCTCTTTCCCCAACTCTTACTACACGATGCTCAACACTTCCAAGGACCCATCCCGAGCTAAGTTTCTGAGTGAATGAACACAAGGGTGACTTCACAAGAAAAACCAGCCCAGATCTCAGGTCCTGGCTTGGCTCCCTCCCTGAACGCATGGCCTTCCACTGGTGGCCTCAGCCACGCAACCATGCTTGGGGTTTCCCAGGGGCAAAGATGTGCTGTTTATTTTAAAACCTGGGCAGCTGTCACATAAAGACAACAAATTCCTCTTGTCTAGCTAAAGTTTCACAGGAACTCGACAACTCACCTAAGAACGTGCTGGCGAGAGCTGACAGTCCTAATGCCAGCTCATGTGAGACCAAGTGTGTCACTACTACACAAGTGTAGCAGTGACATTTCAGGACTCGGGATGGAGGCCCCTCCCGACCTACCAGGCCCAGGCACTTTGCAGGAGTGATGCCTGGGGTCTCCCGGCCCACGGCCCATCCTCCCCACTCCACGCGCACAGCTGTGGGCACCCACCTGGCAGGACAGGAACCGCTTAAGCGCGTTCCCAGGCCGCAGATCCATGCCCCGCACGACAGCGCCCACGAAGAACGGCCGTACATCCCTGACCTCGGGGCTTGCCCGGATGGTCAGCAGGGTGGGGTTCTCTGACACGTGCAGGACGCGGAGCAGCAGCCGGCTGGCCTCGTCCACTACTGCGTCCGCACCCTCGCCGCTCTCCCTCTTCTTCCGCTCCCGCCTCTTCCGCCGACCCTCCTCCTTGTCGGGGCCCTCGGCCTTGCCCCGACACCTGCCACGGCCCCCAGCACGCAGGTACTCCAGGATGGACCTGGTCTGGCAGCCGCTGACCATCTTCTCCAGGCGCTTGTCTCGCAGCCTGTTCCCCCGGAAGTTGATGTCCTTGAGCTTTGGGCAGTCAGCCAGCTCTGCTGGGATCTCGCTCAGCTGGTTGTTGGACAGGTCCAGCGTCTGCGAGGGAGACCAGGACACATCAGACCTCCAGCTCTGGTCTGTTGCTGGGCCATGAGAGGCCCCCAAGGCCCACCCTCCTTGACCGTCTGCCCTGTATCAGCAACACAACACATGCCACGCTCGCTCCTGCCCCGGTGCCCAGTATGGACACATGGACTGCCCACCGAGGGGAGGTGTGGATGGCCTGCCAGTCACCTCTCTAAAGTGCTGCTTGACCAGTGTCCTCCTGGTAACAACTGCAGCACAATTTCAGGTCGATGGTTAGGTTGAGGAAAAAAAGACAGCAAGGAAGGAGGGGAATGTTTGGTTAAGAACAAGCAGGAACTTCACACGAGAAACAAATTTCCCACAAAATAGTGATAAAGTGTTTTTACCGTTTTCAATATTTATTTGGTGGCCTTAGTTGCCCTATGGCATGTGTGATCTTAATTTCCAGACCAAGGATCAAACCCATATCCCCTGCATTGCAAGGCAGATTCTTAATCAATGGACCACCAGGGACATCCCAAGATGTTTTTAAATTTTTAAGTAAATGAGCAGAAGAGAAAGAACAGCATGAGTAACAGTGTCACGCTCCATGCTGTGATGTGACGTTTCCAGCACACAGGGGATTCTCCTGTATCCTGCATGCATGATGGATGGTGAGTTTGCGTCAATGCTGGGAGGGCTCTGGGCCCTTTGCTGTGATGTGGGAGGAGGGAGTGGGGGCCACTGCTATCTGTGCATCAGGAGGCCCATGAGAAGGGACAGGAAGATGAAGCAGTCATGAGTATCGCTGACCTGGGGTAAGAGGTGGTGGGTGGAGGGCAGGGTCCTGTGCCCTGGGGCGGGGGGGTGGGGGTGGGGGGAAGTGGGGAACAACTCAGTTGGTGGTAAAGAGGACGGCCCCTCGCAGGAGACTGGCCACACCACTGTCCCAGGGGCTATCCAGCCCTGCAAGTAAATGGCTTCTTGTGGGGAACTCTGGCAAGACCTTGCACAGCTTTGCTTACACCTGACCTGGGCTTAGGGACTTGACAGGGTGGCCTGGGGAGAAGCCTGCTGGCCTGGTTTAGCTGGAGCAAGCACAGGGGCCTGGCCTTTGAAAAGTGAGGCAGTGACAGGTGGCAGGGGCCTCCTGAGGACTGAGGATCAGGGAGTGCTTGGGTGAGACCACTGTGGAGCCCCAGTGACACCCAAGTGGGCAGGCTCCTCTGGACACTCCTGGAGCAGCACTCACACCAGTGTGGCCTGCGAGGAGTGCGGTCCTGACTGGGACACAATGGTCCCAAAAGACCCACAGCAGGGGACAGGGCTGTCACCAGCTGGCACGGTGGGCAGGGGCTCGGATGATGCCGTCTACTATGATTACACAGAGGGCACCCCCAAGTTACAAAGGGACCCTTCTTTATCACTCCTGGCTGGGGCCCTCTGGCTCGGCAGTCAGACTGCAGAGAGGCTGAGACAGCAGTGTGGAGGGGCATGGCAGATGGGTGTGCGACAGAAGAGCCTCCGCCTGGCAGGACCAGAGGCCTGGGGAGAAAGGAGTTAACTGCCAAGCAGGCTCTGATCCTGCACTCAACTTGGAAACAGAAAGAAAAGGTAAGCCCGATGCAGTCTCCAAGTGTCACCAGGCTGCAGGTTAACTCAGCAGTCACAGTGTCGCCTCTCTTGGCCTGCCCCTCCATGCGGGTGAGACTGCGCAGGTGGGCAGATGGGCTGAAACTGGCCCTTCCAGGCCACCCTGTGACACCCGCCCCCCCACCCAATAGGACATGGCGGTGCACCCGTCCCGCAGGTGGGCCGTGCTGAGCCCTTGTGCCCTGCATCAGAAGACCCCTGCTGTGGAGGACTGGCCAGGGCCACCTAGACTGATGTCTGTGTGAGCACACTCGGCCAGGCTGGGGCCAGATGAGTTGGGTCCCGCGCCCGCAGGGAGGCTGTGAGCAGGGACAAAGGGCTGCTGTGTCATCGTCAGGTCTGACCTGCACACCCAGCCTTGGGGTCTCCTGCGCCATCCAGAGGCTCTTTGGCCGAACAGCTTGGACTCCACTGGCACCTCTGTGGCGTGAAAGCACAGCCGCTGACAGTGGAGTGCGTCTGCCTCTGGTGAGAAGACCCTGAGACAGCAGCAGGGGAGGTGCCAGCAAGGAATGGGGGCAGGAGGGATCCCCAGTCCTAACAGAGCCGTGCCAGGCCAGCAGCCTGGTGAAGGAGTCTCCACAAGGCAGAGGAGGGGGCTGGGCAGCTGCCGGGTCTCTGCAGGCCATGTCCAGCAGAAACAGGAGTCCACTAACAAGCAAAAACTGCCCCCAGCAGCACCATGTGCCACAACCAGCCACACCTAAACTGCAGATTTGATGTGGAGTGGAGTCCACAGGTTTCCCAAGTGGACCAGGAGCGCTGGGGAGGTGGGCTGGGGGGGGATGGGGGGCGGTGTTGGGGCTGCAGGAGATGGGAGAAACCCGGACATAACATCCACACAGGGAGTTCAACTGCACAGGACAGGAGAGAGGAAATGCATAATCACCAAGGGGAGAATTAAGTGCACTTGGAGGCACCTCCTTCAAGGCACCTTCCCAGGACACCCACCCATTCCCTCCCTCCTGTAGGTGACACTGGCTGGGCACGGCCAGTTTCCACCCTAGATGACAACTTGACCACTGCCGGGCAACGCTGCAGGGGAAGGACCCTAACTTCCTGGCTGAGACCACAGACATACACTATCTCTGGGGGTGTGGAAGAACCCCTTCGCTCCAGGACCCACCATCTCCGGCCGCAACTGAGAAAATAAAAAGCCAATACTTCTTTGTGGAAGCTGATTCTGAGAGCAGTCCTGTCATGTGACACTGAGCCTGGCACTGGCAGGACTGGGACAATCCTCCTTCAGCAGATGATGTGCTGTCCCAGGACGGCTGGGGGCACGTCTGTCCTGCCTATCATTCAGCAGTCCCCAACAGGAGCGCCACGGGTCCGGGGAGTGGTCACTGACAGTGAGGGCAGAGTGCTGTGTGGGGGCCCATCTCTGGCTCATTACAGTCCAGAGGCTGAGTCCATGGGTAATGGAACCCGGTGGGGAGAAGCCTGGCTGGGCCGATGAGGAAGCTGGGCTTTCCAGGCAGCGTGGGCCGGGAAGGGGAGGACAGCTCTCTGTGCAGCCTCCTTGCGCCCGGGCTGCAGTGGAGATGAGGGTCCGGGCTTCACGACTCCCAGGTGAGTGGACACCAAGGCACTCACATGGGCCCTCTGTGGACTGGGGGGGTGAGCGGGACAAGCAGAGGCTGTGTGCTGTCACTCTGGCGGCCCCTCCCGGTGTCCACATCCATGTGCTGCGTCTCCCACGACTCTCAACTGAGCTCTGCTTACAGAATCAGCAGGATGCAGTAGACCCAGTGGGCTGCGGGGTCTAGGTCTGCTTCCTGAGTGGGCCCGGCTCTGGAGCCCTGAGCCACCACGTGAGGGCAGACCATCTGGCTGAGGCGGGAGACGTCCCGAGATGACACAGAGGAGTCAGCCGTGTCAGCTGAGCCCAGCCTGAGCCCACAGCAGCTGACGGGGGGCCACCCGAGCCATCAACAGCCAGGCGGCGGCGTTGGTCCAGCTGGGCGGGCCCAGAGTGGATGACCGGGAGCAAAGAAAACCGCTGTTGTGTTAAGTCACAACCTTGGCATGGCTATATAGCCCCAGAGGACACACACCATCGCTGTCACCGCACTTTCTTCATGACACCATGGTCACCCTCACAGTTCTCACGGGGGAGGGGACGGGCAGGAGCCCAGGGCGCTGCTACAAGACGCTGAACTGAACTCACACTTCCCCGTTCTGAGCTCAGCTGTCCCCCCACAGTGTAGAAAGAACAGAGAACACTGGTGTCCTTGCAGCTCCAGCAGGTGGAGGGACTCTGCTTCACCCAGTTCGAGCAGCCGTTCCCCAGGGAGGTATCACTTTAGAAAAGGCCCCCAAAGGACATCCAAGTCCAAGCAGATTCCCAGCAGCTCTGACGTGACGCTCTCCAAGGAATGGCCTCTTCATCTAACAGAGATGGATGGGAGTCTAGAAATAGGAACAAGGTGGGCCAGGAAACTGGGAGCTGAGCAGTGAGACATTCTCTCTGACCTGAGTGAGGGCATTCTGGGCACAAGAAAGACGACTTTACTGAGCAGGTATGCAGAGGTACACAGAACATTAAAGAAACAAAACAAACCCAAACTTTCACCTTCTGTAAAATCAAGAGAGTAGGAGAAGGGTGATGGAACAGAAACGGCTTATGCCATGTGTCACACCAGCCTCTTAGGGAAGCTATGAAGCTATAGCCCTGGGGACCAGTGCCTGGGAGTCAGTAGTTCCAGGAGCTTCCTGAGCGCCTTCCTGGAAACACCAGCAAGTGAGCGTCACTCTGTTCTCATGACCACACACACACACTTCTACCCTGACACAATGTTGTTGTTGTTTAGTCACTAAGAGGTGGCGTGTCACTCTGTTCTTGTGACCACACATACACACACACACTTCTATCCTGACACAATGTTGTTGCTGTTGTTGTTTAGAAACTAAGTCATGTCCAACTCTTTGCAATGCCATGGACGGAAGCACGCCAGGCTCCTCTGTCCTCCACTATCTCATGTCTTATTGAGTCGGTGATGCCATCCAACCATCTCATCCTCTGTCACCCCCTTCTCCTGCCCTTAATTCTGCCCAGCATCAGAATCTTTTCCAATGAGTTGACTCTTCACATCAGGTGGCCAAAGTATTGGAGCTTCAGCTTCAGTATCAGTCCTTCCAATGAATATTCAGGGTTGATTTCCTTTAGGATTAACTGGTTTGATCTCCTTGGTGTCCAAGGGACTCTCAAGAGTCATTTCCAGCACCACAATTTGAAAGCATCAATTCTTTGGCCTTCTTTATGATCCAACTCTCATATCCCTACATGACTACCGGGAAAACCACAGATTTGTCTGTACCGACCTTTGTTGGCAAGCAATGTCTCTGCTTTTTAATCCTGACACATAGACATTTGTAAAATGAGTTGGCAACATCTCAAGAGCAATTCCCACTGCAAAAAGGTCAGTTGCTAAACTGCATACACATTTGATTGTTTAAAAAAAGTCTGCACAAAAGGGATGGAAAACAAGTGAAAGAAACAGAGGCCTGCCTCTTTAAGGACAAGAGCCTCTAGACTGGACTTAGGCCATGGTGCCAGCAACCTCTGCCCTTCCGTCTCTTCCTCAATAGATTTACTAGGCCCTTGTTATGAGCCCAGCATTGTTTGACCTGGGGTCCCCGAATAAATAAAACAAGCAAGCAGTCCCTAGACAGAACAGTATAGAGAATACTGCAAGCTATTCGCTGTGTACTCTGGGCAATCCTTCCCGCCTCCTGTAAGAGGGGAATAACCACCCCTGCCTTGAAAAGTCGCTGCTGGGGTCAAGTGAACTATCCTGTGAGATCACACTAGGGACCTTAAGCAAATTGCAGTCACTTCACAGCTTCCTGCCCTGTTTGGGAGGCCCCGCGCACAAAGCTCACGGTCCTTTAGCAAATATTTGGAGAGAAAAACTTTTAGCAATGAGTCCTTGCTGCTGATCTGTCTCCGACCTGAGCGGGAAGCCCACCCAGCTGGCAATCAAGAAACACAATCACTTGTGTTAAGTGTTAAAGTCCAGTTGTGAGCAGAATGTGATGCGAGCCGCGAGACCACCAGAGGATGGAGGTCAGGGGAGTGGGAAGGGACCTGGGGGTGAACCGGCTTCCCAGCGGTGCCGATGCTGCGGTGGCCATTCCCTGCCGAGGAGGAGCGGCTCAGCACCGGGAGAAGATAGCCCACTGCGGCTACCAGAGGGCCGGCCCCGCTCGCCCGCCCGCCCCGCTGACCTTGAGCGACGCCAGGTGGGCGATGTCAGGGCTGAGCTCCCGGAGGCAGTTGTCGGCCGCCGCCAGTTCGCTGAGCAACGGCAGCGCGCCGGGGAGGAAAAGCGCGGCGGGGAAGGCGTCCAGGCGGTTGCCGGTGAGGTTGAGGGTCTGCAGCCGCGGCGCGCAGCGCGCCAGGTCGGCCGGCAGCTCGCGCAGCCGGTTGCCGCTAAGGTTGAGGCTCTGCAGCTGCGGGAGGCCCGGCGGCTCGGCGGGGCCTAGGCCCTGGCCCGGCGGCAGCGCCTCCAGCGCGTTGCCCGACAGGTCGAGCACACGCAGCGCGGGCAGCGGACCGAGCTCGGGACTCAGGCCGGGCCCCAGCGCGTTGCGCCGCAGCACGAGGCTGTGCAGCTGCGGGAGGCCTTGAGCCAGGCCTGGGCCCGGCTCGCGCAGGCTCCCGCAGCCGCTCACCTCCAGGTAATGCAGCAGCGGTAGGGTGAAGAGCCGCGGCGGTAGCCGCCCGCCCGCCGCGCGCACCCGCTCCTCCAGTCCGGGCCCGGTCAGCAGCAGCTCCCGCCGCCGCTCCCGCTCAGCCAGATCCAGCTCGGGCCAGGCCTCCGACACCGCAGCCGCCGCCGCCATCGCGCCGCCGCACCCGCAGCCCCTGCAGGGGCACTTCCGGGGCACGCGGCGTAACTTCTGGTCTGAGCCGGAAGGCACCATCGAGAGCGGCGCGGGCGCTAGAGCGCCACCGCGAGCGTCTTAAAGGAGCCGGGTAGGGCTGGGGAGTTGATACCTTCAGCGCCTTGGACCGGGTTCTCGCTGTGGGCGTGGGATTTTGGAGCGTCGAGCCGCCGGTCGAGCCCTCGCACCCGCGAGGCTGTCGGGAAGCAGCGGGGACGATCGAGTCCCTAAGAAAGATCGGAGAGCGAATCTGCGGACGCGTCGGCCTCACGGCCCGGAGGAGGTGCCGGGGGACGTCGTCACTCCCCGGGCTAAAGGCCTTCTACAGGGCGAAGGGGGAGGAGATGAGTGACTTTTAGGGGAGATGAACGGACCTTAGAATGACAGACGGGCGGGAGGACCGTGTAACACCGGCTATGTTGTCCTTCCTAGTCCCACGGGCGTCTCGGACGACTGAGTTCCTTTGGGAGGCTGTGTTTAGGCAAGAAGGGGAGTTCAGACAAGGCTCTCCCTGCATCGACTGATTTTCAGGGGCACACAGCTCAGAATAGCCAACGTACCGAGGTACACGTTTCCGGGTGGCATAGTCCGCCACCCTTCAAACTCTTCCAAGTTCATCTCGGTTGTTTCCCATCTGTTGGCTCCCTTTCCCTGCCCTGTGGCCATAATCACCTCCGTGCGTGCCTACTCAGTCGTGTCTGACTCTGCAACCCCATGGACTGTAGCCCGTCAGGCTCCTCTGTCCGTGGGATTCTCCAGGCAAGAACAGTGCAGTGGGTTGCCATTTTCTCCTCCAGGGGATCTTCGCGACCCAAGGATGGAACCCGCGTCTCCAACTTCTCCTGCATTGGCAGGTGGGTTCTTTACCTGGGAAGCCCAATAAAGCCCCAGCCGTCCTGTAATCAGAGTTGAGATGACTTTGCCTTGTCGCAATCGTCAAATAAGTCTTCTTTGCTGTTTTTAACAAGCATCTTGTGCACTTTTTTTCTTTATAGGTTAGTGGTTTGTGTATTGGAGTCACCAGGAAATTACAAATGAATGATGCCCCAGCCTCTTGTCTGGAGATGCTGGCCTAGCAGTCTGGGCTGCAGCTCGGGTGTGGGGATTTACACGCTCCACAGGCATTTCTGTTGGGCAGGCAAGTTTGTGAGGCTGCTTGGGAGCAGACAGTTTCCCTGTGTTAGGATCCACCGGCGGGAAGTGTTTGGAGGAGCGGGTGAGAGGAATAGTGCTGAGGTCGACTGTACTATTCTCTGCTCCTGTTTTTGTTAACCCCTCACCCCAGCAGAATTGCCAGTTTCATTTTGTTTTGAAATTTCTGAACATTGTATTGAAGGGTGATGGACTTCCAGAGAAGTGTGCACACAGTGTAAGTGGATTTAGTCCAGACCGAACACATCCGTGAAGCCATCATGAAGCTCAAGAAAACAGTGATCACCAGTCCTTACAAAACCCCCTTGTACCCTGACACTGTAGTTTTGCTGCTTTTTTTTGCGCTTCCTGTATATGGTGCAGGGCCAGGCCTAGGTCTGCGGGAGTCATCTGTGTGTGGGTAACACTTGTGCATTGTCTGCTGTCTGATGTTTCAGTATGTTTGAATGAGTGCGAGTGTGCTCAGTCATATCTGACTCTGAACCCCATAGACTGTAGCCCGCCAGCCTCCTCTGTCCATGGGGATTTTCCAGGCTAGAATACTGGAGTGGGTTGTCATTTCCTCCTCCAGGGGATCTTCAGGACACAGGGATTGGCATCTTCTTCACTGGCAGGCACGTTCTTTACCATGGTGCCACCTGGGAAGTCTTGTGAATATACCATGTTTATTTCTAGTAGAGCCTTTGTGCTGCGCTGATTTCACCCTTGTCACCCTGTGACCCCACACAGGAAAGACACGTTTTTGTCTTGGTCACTGTTGTGACCAGTTCCATCTGTGAAGGACAGGCAGTGACTGTCCCAAGGTCAGGAGAGGTGAGGGTAGGCCCCTAAGATCTCATGCACCCTTGCACTTCCCTCCGCATGCTGCTGCAGCCACACCCAGAAGAGCTTTCAGTCTCCTCAGTGATTTCTTGGAAGACTACATACATACTTAGTATCAGTGGCTTTCAGTTCCTGGGGCCTGCATGTCCTCTTGCCTGCTTAGTTTCCTGGAGTAGGTTTCTGGGCAGCTGTGCGACAGCTTGTGCTAACACATGCCATCTTGATAGGCAATGCGGGTAGTAACAGTTGTATGGGAGCTGACACTGGACACCACCAACCACCATCACCAGGAGGGAGGAGAGTCCCTTGTGAGACAAGCTGAAAGCAGATGGCCATGTGGAGAACATGTGCTGAGCTGCACATGGCGGCATGAGTGACAGATCACGGAAGGACGGTTCCATGTGCGCAGCTTAAACGTGTCAGACTCAGGATTCCATCATGAAGGGATCCACGCCTTTGTGGTGAGTCCATGAAGACAGCCGAGGTGGATCCTGGGGATGGTGCTAGCAGACCCCAGCGCTATGGCTGCTCCTTCCCCAGCCTGGCCCAACTGCTGGGTTGGCCTGTGGGGGCAGTCAGTCCATCCAGACCCCTCTCCATCCCCTTCCCTACCTGAGTCCTGGTTCCATCACTGTCCATACCCTGGTTCCCATCCATGTCCCTGCCCTGGTTGAGGCTGGGGGCTGGAGGCCCTGGGTGCCAGCCTCGCTTGCCTCCTGCCTCTGGCCCAGCCTTAGGATCCCCAAATTTGGTGAACAGCACTCCCAAGCGTTGTCTCCTTACCCCCGGGGGAAGGAAGATCTTGATCCAGAACCCTCGCAGTGGTGCCAGCGGTCACCCCACAGCGTCAGACGGGATGCTGCTCCCCTCCGTTTCCAGGACTGGTCCCCGGACACCAGGAGGCACTAATACTGAAGGCATGGCCAGATGACTGGTGCAGAGGTGGCCGTGGGCCACTCCTGGGGAGCCCTCAACCTTAAGGATAAGGGTCGTGAAAGGGGGCCATGGGGATGAGCCAAACCCAGGCTGCCTGCTCACAAGACCACCCCTTTCAGAATCTGACTCCGCTCACCACTTGCCCTGTGGGATACCTCTTGATGGGGAGGGGCCTGCACACTGCCCCTGCACTTGAGTGCTCAGACTTGGGTGGGGGTGGGGTGGGGGCTGTGGTGTCCTTCATCCTAAAGCTGGGTGGTGGGGAGGCTTGCTCCTGCCCCACTGGGAGGCATCCCCAGGTGCCTTGGGCCAGAAGGAAGCCTGGAGCAATTTCAAGGCCATTTGGGCAGGTGGATGGCCCCACGCCTTCAGTCTCCCCCATCCCCGCCATGGGCTCAGCACCTTCCCCACCTGAGCTGAAGGAGTGGAGGCTGCCTAGGTGGATCTGCTGTGTAGATGGGGTAGGTGTGCATGGGGATAGGTGGGGGCCTTGTTAGCACCTTCCTCTCAGCTGCATTCCAGGCGGGAACGGAGGCAGAGACAAGCAAATCTGGAATCCACTACCTGTAACCTGTGCCTGCACCCCTGTTCCAGGGTGCACAGAGTGCAGGGCATAGCGTTGACGTCTGGGTGAGGGTTTGGGCACTGAGCCGGTCTCCCTGCCTACAGTGGAGGTGAGAACAGCTGCCCCGCAGGTCCTCAGAGGGTTCCAGAACACCCACGCGGGGGCACAGGACCTGCACAGAATTGCTCCCAACGCAGCAGCTCAGGAGGTCACTGCCTTAAGCCCTGACCCCAGACCCAGGAGCCGCAACCCCCACCCAGGGCTTCCCTGCTCCCGGTGGTGGCAGCAGTGGGGGAGGGATGGGTGCAGGCCCCAGGGCTCCCAAGACTCAGGGTGCACGATGCTCTGCAGGCTCTTGTTTTTAGTGCTGATCTGGTTTTTAAGAGCAGATGAGAAATGGCACAGATGAACACCTGAGAGCAGGTGGAACCACTCTCCTAGAGTTCACACCAGCTCCCCCTCCCTCCTGTTCGGTCACCCCACAGCGTCAGATGGGATGCTGCTCCTCTTCCACATGTGGCTCAGCAGGTAAAGAATCCGCCTGCAATGCAGGAGACTTGGGTTAAATTCCTGGGTCAAGAATATCCCCTGGAGGAGGGCATGGCAACCCACTCCTGTATTCTTGCCTGGAGAATCCCCATGGACAGAGGAACCTGGTGGGCTACACTCCATAGGGTAACAAAGAGTTGGACACGGGTGCACATATACATAAACTTGAAATTTAGGGGCATTACACTTTAAACAGCAAAAATTGGTTCTTACCTGCGTAGACAGGCTGTGTGGAAGGCTTCTAGCCTTATATGTGTGTGTGTGTGTGTATACATACATACATATATATATATATGGAAAAAACTAACTTCAAAATGGAAACAGTCAAAGTCAAAACTAGTAAAAGCTTAAAACCAGTCTACAGCAGAGAAAATACTGTTTTATTTACTTGAAAAGCAAAATAGCCTTGCTGGCTGGTAAAAATCCCCTCTTTCAAAAGGAATAAAAAAATACAGGAAGAGATTAAGAGGTATGAACCTCTGATGGGAGCACAACTGGGGTGTTTATAAAATGTTCTCTTTATCCTGTAGGATAAAATTGGTCACTATTTCTAATTTATGTGCAGCTTAAAATCTTTTAGCTTCTTCAGCAGTAAACCCACAAATAACTCATTTCAGGAACTAGACTCCCTCCTGGCAGCTTAGCGCCCCCCGCCCCTTGCCCAGCGAACCTCGGCAACTCAGTGGCACCTCGGGGCTGCATCATGCCTGCGTGCTTACAGAAGATGTAAACTTAACTATAAGCTTTTCAAGTATAGTCTTAAAAGGGACAGAGCATTTAGTAATCTTTTTATTATATTCACATGCTCAGGGTGAATGCACCCCTAAGCCCTGAAACAACAACAAAAATATATTACTTAGATGTTTTATAATTTTGGTACCCGAAATAAAGACAAATAGAAAACTATGTCAAAACATTAAAAAGTTGCAAATTT